CCGCCCCCTCACCCCCTGCAGTCCTTGCAGGGCGGCCATGCTGCCCCTGGCTAAGATGGCCGACACCTCAGCCTGGGGTGTGGATAAGCTTCCCCCCCTTGTACTGGCGTGGTGGGTTGATGGCTGCATGGGAACAAGCCCCCCAGCTTCTGTGACCTTAACCTGACCCCCCAGCCCATGCCCCCCGAACTCCCTCCCTCCCAAAGCCCCCATCTCCCGCCCGGCCTGTCCCCATCAGGGAGGGAGGGTGAGGGGACATGAGGGTGTGGGGGCCATTATAGGACAGGCAGCATGTGGGGCAGGGGAAGAAAGGGAAGAAGAATGTGGGAGGAGGGGAAGGGGCTGAGACTGAGGGGGCAGGCACTGAGGGGTCTGGGGCAGGACAGTGACAGAGGAGGGGGGATTTGGGGTCCCCCGTGTGTGTTTCAGACTGAACCTGCCCCATGGCGATGGGGGCGCCCCCAACCCCTCTCCCTCACCCCACCCAGCTCCGCAGGGGTTTTGGCAGGAAACAATCCAGCCCCCCACTCCCAGCTCAGACCCACTGCAGGTGGGGGGGGCCACATGGCAAAGTGTGGGGAGCAGAGAACGGGGGTGAGGAAAGGGTAGTGGGGTCCTGGAAAGGTGGGTGGGGCAGGATTATGTAGGGGTGATGGGAGGGGAAGGGGTGGTATGAGGGGCTATTATGGGGCAGGGAATGTGGGGCAGAAGGTGCTGTAGGGTGCTGTGAATGGCAGGAGACTGAGAGGAAAGGAAGTGGGTGACCCAGGACTGAGGTGGCAGGAATAGGAGGGGGCAGTGAGAGGCAGGGCCGGCTCTGGCTTTTTTGCCGCCCCAGGCAAAAAAGCCTCCGGCCGCCCCCCCCCTCCCCCCGCGGGGAGAGCGCCGGGGGGAGGGTGGCGAGCCCGGCTGTGGCCCCGCTCTCCCCGGCGGCCGGAGCGCTGCGCCGCCCCCCTCCAGGTGCCGCCCCAAGCACCAGCTTGGTTGCCTGGTGCCTGGAGCCGGCCCTGGTGAGAGGGGAACTGGGTGTCTGGGTGATGAAGACAAGAGCACTTCTTAAGCTGTTTTCAGTTAAGTCTGCAGCTTTGTGGGTGTGGTTCAGACCCTGGGTCTGTGTTGCAGCAGACATAGTGTGTCCGGCTCAACAAGGCAGGTTTCTGGAGGCCCAAACTGGCAGGGAAAATGGGCTCAGAGGTAATCTCAGCACATCAGGTAACAGTCCCAAGGGGGTCTCTGTGACCGAACCCGTCACACTGCTGTCAGGTCGGGAGCTGTTTGGTGGGGGGATTCTCCGAGGCAGGGGTGTTTGTGCTGGCGTCTAACCACCCCACGGGGAATCCACTTGTCCCCCGGGGAGATTCTCTTCCCTGCACGGCCGGATCCAGGCTCTGGGGGCTCAGAGAGACAGCGGGTTAGGGGGGCCCGTGTCACTCTGGGCCCAGCCCCTGGGGGGAGCAAGGGGCACAGAAGGGGGGGGTCACTTCACCTAGGGTGCCCCCCTTGGGCGGCTGTAATAGGCCTCAGCCAGGATCAGCCCCAGGACGAGCAGGACCGCGGCGCTCAGCCCCAGGCGGGCGATGTTGGCGTTGGTGAAATCTGGGGGGGCTGCTGTTGGGGGGAGGGAAGAGTCACTCGGCGGCTTGGATGGGGAGATCAGCAGCTGGCAGTACCCCGGAGCGGAGCCCCCAACCCTCCGTCCGGCAGATCTGGCCCAGCCCCCCTCTGGGGGTCTCCCAGGCACCGCGGCTCTGGGGCCTCCTCGGGACCGGACCCACCCGGGAGACTGTGTCCTGCTGCCCCGGGGGGCTGAGCCTCAGCTTCCCCGGTGAAGGGGGCTCCCACGTGGACGAACTGCCCCCAAGACACCCGGCACCCCAGCACCAGGCCAGGGGATGTGGACAATCAGAGCCTCAGGGCCTTAGCACCCCAGAATAGGGAACCACCCCAGCTCCCTGTCCCCATAGGATCCCTCTGTCCACCCCCACAGGTACCTCTGCCCCGCCCTGTCTGCTGTGCAGTGAGCACATCCCCGGGGTATCTCGGCTGCTGACAAACACAGCCAGGCAGTGCGCGGGCAGTGCGCGGGGGAGGCTAGTTCGTCACCTGCTGCCCCCCACACTCAGGCAATGCCCAGGGCTCTAGGGGGCTGCCCCTCCCGCTGATGTCTGGCCCCACCCACCCATCGTCAATGCCCCCATCCCCCACAGCCAGCCCCAGCCCCTGGGAACCACAACCTGTTTCCACGGCGGGTTCAAAGGCAGATTCCACCAACCACCCCTGCACGACGGAGACAGGAATCTCCACCCCCTTCGGCCCTGAATCTCCAGCTGCTGCTGCTCCCTCCAGCTGGGAAATTCCCCAGTGACTGTCTCCACTCCCCGGCCAATTGTCCCCTCTGCTGGGCCCAGGGCTCAGGAAAGAGCCCGGCTCTGAGCGTCCCATTGGCACCGAGCCCCCGTGAGGGTCTGGCTGGGGGTGGGGCTGGGAACAGGGACGCCGAGCTGGGCCCCTCACCTCTCAGCACCAGCTCCACGGGGTCGCTGGGGTACGACATGGCGAACGGCTCCGATCGGCTGTGATAGGAGCAGCTGTAGCTCCCGCCGTCCTCCCGGCGCACGTTGCTGATGGGAAACACAGCCTCAAACCCGTCCGAATCCACAGGTGGGAAATGGCGTCGCTCTTTATTCAGCATGAACCGCACGCCCCGGTGCTGGCCCCAACACTGGACGGTCACGGCTCCCCCGAGGGAGACCCCTCCGCTGGGGCTCAGGGAGATGTTGGGTTTGGGGTAGCTGAGCTCTGCAGTGGGAAGCAGACAGGCCGTGAGACACAGCCCCCGTCACTCACTCCTGGGGCCCGTCCTCACCACGCGGCCTTAGTGGTGGGTCAGACCCGGTGGCCCTGGGGACGGGCTCCTGGATGCCTTTCCACAGGGGCCAGAATTTCCTCTGAGCCCTGGGCTAACAGCATGAGACATGGAGCAACCCCAGCCCCTGGGGGCCCAGAGCTCTGCTCCCTAGCAGGAGACAGGCCAGTCCAGGCTCCATGCACTCCCTGGCTTCTCTGCTGGGAGGGCTGGGAGCCAGGACTCTTGGATTCTATCCCTGGTTCTGGTGGGGGGGGGAGAGGGAGTGGGGTCTAGTGGTTAGAGTAGGGGGGCTGGGAGCCAGGACTCCTGGGTTCTGTGCAAAGCACCACCACTGACTTGTAGGGTAGTGTGCAAGTCTCTACTATACACAGAGGTTTATAACCTTCAGCTCCGCTCATCATCCCGTAACTGATGTGTTGTCTGGGAAAGGCCCCCCCGGTCTGCAGCTCCCCCATCCCCCTTCCTCTGCCCCAAATCTCCACTGGCTGCTTCTCCCCACTGGCTGGGGAACCTCCCCGGCCGGGCATCCCCTCTGCTGTGCCCAAGCCTGGCTCTGAGTGTCCGATTGGTGCAGAGACCCCCCGAGGTTCTGGCTGGGTGTGGGGCTGGGAGCGGGGACGCCAAGCCAGGCCCCTCACCTGCTACCACCAGCTCCACATAGCTGCTGGGGTATGACGAGATGAAGGGCTCTGATTGGGGCCGGTAGCTGCAGCTGTAGCTCCCTCCATGCTGCCGGCCCGCGGTGGGGATGCGGAACTCGGCCTTGTCCCCAGCAGGGTCCATGTGTCGCTGCAGGTTCAGGTCTCCAGCCTTGTGCAGGAAGAACCTCACGTCCCGGCGCTGCCCCTGACACTGGATGGTGACGTCTGCCCCTGGGGCGGTGACCCCAGTGGGGCTCAGAGTGATGGAGGGTCTGGGTAAGCTGGGATCTGCGCACAGGAGACAGGCTGTGAGAGCCAGACCCGGGCACCCACCCAGCCCCGGCCTCCCCAACCGGCCCCAGCCCTGGGTAGATCCACAGACCCCCAGGCAGAGATTCTCTCCCAGATCCCAGAGTTCCCCCCACCCAGAATCCCAGCCCTGTGAGCTGGGCTCCCAGCCCCACAGACACCAAGCCGCAGCTGCCTAGTTCTTGGGTCCTCATATGCCCGTGTGTGGCCCCGGCCTCATTCCCTGCATCTGCTCCCCCTGAGCACAGAGCGACTTATGGGCTGGTCTCTGGCGCGCAGCACCACAGGGCCCGAGCTCCACACAGGAAGGGAGTCAGCCCCCTGGGAGGCAGAGAGGGGTCTTTATCCCCATTCTACACAGAGGGAAACTGAGACACAGACAGATTCACTTTCCTTAGTGAATTCCCACGGGCAGGGGCTGTCTCTTCACTCTGTGTTTATTCAGCGCCTGGCACAAAGGGGCCCTGATCATGGTGGGGGCCCTACATGCTCCCCCAACACAAGGGATCCAGCGCTATTGAGGCCAGCGTTTGCAGAGGTTTCCACTAACTGTG